TGTCTCGCTGCTCACCTGCCGGACTCGAAACCAATTAGTCTGATGCCACGACCGGGGCGAGACAGGTGCTAGACACACTAGGAGAGCTGCCACATAAGAGACACGCCACAATTCGCACGATTAACGAGTGCGCGGCCAGCCTAACGTGTGCCTCTCTGCCGCCAGGATCCTGAGCATGGCGCTGTGCAGCTGCCTCCTCACCATCGCGGCCAACGGCACCGAGACGCTGTGGTACCGCACGGCGCCCATCAACTTCTACACGCTCTTCCCCGTCGCCATTGCAGGTAGGTCGCCGCCTGCAATGCCCGTGTTGCTGAGGTGGACTTCGTTCTCTGCGCTCGCTCGGCCACACTGGAAACTTGGGGAAAGGGTCTCGACTCTTGCAGTGAGTGCGCAGACTTAGACTTCTATGTATAATACTTAAAGTCACCGTTTTTGTGAGTAGCATTTCTCATTTAGTAAAAAGTAAAACAAAATGAATATGGAAAGAAATATTACACTACAAAGAACAAAAAGTTTCCAGTCTGACCGATCGCTTTCTGTTCCTTTGTTAAAGCTGTTGTCATTATCACAATTGTTATTATTATGATGTTAATATTATTATTAGTAGTAGTAGTAGTATCATCATCATCATCATCATTATAATAATTTTTGTTGTTGCTATCATCATCATTATCATAATTATATTATTATTATTGTTGTTATTATTATAAGCTGTAGTAGTAGTTGTATTAGTAGTATCACTATCATTATATTGTTATCATTATTTTTATAATAATGATGATTATTATTATAAATTTCGTACTATTCCTTATGTATTTCTCCTTCATATTTTGCTGGCATTTCCCAAAAGGAAATACGTATTCAGATCAGCGTGCACCCGCGCGCACGCGCATACGCACGCACACTCATGCACACAGACACACACACACACACACACGCGTTTCACATATAGCTAATCCTTTTATATAGAATTTATTTAACAATATTCATAAAGACCCTTTTACCATAATCTTTTTGCAATGGCCGTTAGAGCCGGATTTCCCGCCAAATTTGAATAGCAGTTAAAATGACGGGATGTGTTGGTGAGATTAGGTTCCTGAGCAGATAATTTCGTCCACCATTGGGTTCGTTCGGCCTTATTGTTCTCCGTCGCCGTCTGTCTGTCTCTCTCTGTCTGTTCATCGGTTTCTTTCGTCGTCTCTTGCTCGCTCTCTCTCTCTGTCTGTGTCTCTCTGTCTGTCTGTCTATCTCTCTCCTCTCTCCTCTCTCTTTCTCTCTCTCTCTCTCTCTCTCTCTCTCTCTCTCTCTTTCTTTCTCTATTTCTCTTTTTCTCCCTCTCTCCCTCTCTCCCTCTCTCCCTCTCTCCCTCTCTCTCTCTCTCTCTCTCTCTCTCTCTCTCTCTCTCTCTCTCTCTCTCTCTCTCTCTCTCTCTCTCTCTCTCTCTCTCTCTCTCTCTCTCGCCCTCTCTCACTCATTCATATTGAAGGTTGTTGAAGATAATGCTAAAGTAGATATATATTTCGTCTTTCCCCTGTGCATAGACTTAAACACACACACACACACACACACACACACACACACACACACACACACACACACACACACACACACACACACACACACACAAATAGTTGCATTGCCTCCGACAGCTTCCAAAGAAATAGAATTCATAAAACCGCAAATTCTTCGCGAAAAATCCGTAGAAGATGCCGATTTTCCCAATAAATTGTTGGAGTTCGGTGCCGAGTGTATGGATTGTAAAGTTAAAATGAAAAAAGGAAGATATCGTAATGTTTTAAGTGTGTAAAACCTCAAAGAGTTATGCGTTTGGGGTATACCGTATACTTCTCTCTCTCTCTCTCTCTCTCCCTCCTTCCCTCTCCCTCTCCCTCCCTCCTTCCCATTTCTCTCCCTCTCCATCTCCATCTTTCCCTCTTCCTCTTTCCCATTTCTCTCTTTTCCCTCCCTCCTTCCCTCTCCATCTCCCTCCTTCCTTCCCTCCTTCACACGTCTCTCCCTCTCCCTCTTCCCCATTTCTCTCTTTTCCCTCCCTCCTTCCCTCTCCCTCCATCCTTCCCATTTCTCTCCCTCTCCCTCTCCATCTCTCCTCTCTTCCCTCTCTCCCCTCCTCTCTCTCCCTCCCTCCCCCCTCTCTCTCCATTTTTCCCATCTCTTTCTCTTTCTTTCTCTCTCTATCTCTTTCTCTTTCTTTTTCTCTCCTTCCCTCCCCTCTCCCCTCTCCCCCTCCCCCTCCCATTTTCCTTCTTTTTTTCCGTCCGAATCCAACCTCGGAACAAACAGCGGCCAAGCACCTTTATGGAGGCCCTTTCATGTGCTCGCGGCGGCTGCAGGGTCATTCGCGAGCCATAAGGTCCGGCGTCTCTCCGGCAGGAGGCGGCGAGGAGGCCGACCTCAGGGGGTCTAAAGGACCGTTGTTTCCCCCGAACTCTTTCTCTTTTTTCTCTTTTTCTCTTTTTCTTTTCTCTTCTCTTCTCTTCTCTTCTCTTCCCTCTCTCTCTGGTCATTCGCGAGCCATAAGGTCCGGCGGGGGCGTCTCTCCAGCAGGGGACAGCGAACCCTCAAACTCCCCCCCCCCCTCCCTCTCTCTCTCTCTCTCTCTCTCTCTCTCTCTCTCTCTCTCTCTCTCTCTCTCTCTCTCTCTGCAAATATGTATATATCCTCATCTCTCATCGTTGTTTTCTCTTCCTCGTTTAATCACCTAATATCCCTCACGCTCCCTCACTTTCTCATATCTCTCTCTCTCTCTCTCTCTCTCTCTCTCTCTCTCTCTCTCTCTCTCTCTCTCTCTCTCTCTCTCTCTCTCTCTCTCTCTCTGCCGTTGTTAGCTGTTCCCACGTAACCCTTTTCGTAATTGATGGAGAACGGTGTCTCGCTCCTGTTTGAAAACTGTCCTGCAAAGAGACCTTCCGGCGACCGTTAAAACCGTTGGATATAAATTTCTCGGGGTCATACATTTCCTGGAACACTTAATGTGAAGCGGCTTGAAAAATGATCGGTGCTAAAAATTTGCTCAACTCTTTATTGGCATTCCTGCTGCTAGCGTAGTCTTTTTTTTCACTTTTTTATTGCGAGTACTCTGCGTGCCGGCAGGTAATATGAGCAGAAGGTACAGATTTATTTAGAGTATATGCTATACTAAAAGCTGATATAGAGAGGTGTTCGGATGGTGGGATATGAATTTTTTCTCTCCTTTACGAATATCATTTTTCTTTTGTTTATTTTTAATGCCTGAGTACCGCATTTTTGTGTCTTCGTCTTCCATTTTCACTCTGTCTTCCTCCTTTCTTCATCCTACAGGTGAAACAGGTGATGTTCGTAAATTTTAAATATGCTTTTGTGGTTAACGCGCCTTTGTTACTAGTTTATAAAGATTATTCGGTCTCTTTCTCCCCTTTCTCCCTCCCTCTCCTCCTCTCCCCCTGCCCATCCCCACCCCCCTGGTGCCGCCCCGCCCAGTTCTGACGGCCTCTTGTCTCCCCGGCAGCGATCACCATCGTGGGCCTGTGCATCGCGCCGACCTTCCTGAAGAGTCCTGAGATCGAAGCCGAGGAGGAGAAGCACCTGCTCAAGCTGGGGCTGCCCAGGAAGAAATGTTGGAACAAGAAGCGGACCTGATGTTCCAGTGTTGTCAGGTCGGCTGACAGCACCGCCACGGGTGTTGTCAGGCCGACTGCTTCCTTCCTCAGCGTTTTTGAGTCGGCCAGCCCCTCCAGCAGCGTTGTCAACTCGTCGATCGGCTTATTCGACTTCGGTGTCGGGTCGACGCATCCCATCAGAAGTGCTGTTACCTCGACCTTTTTCGCCAGGAGAGTTATCGGTTCGACAAGCTATGCCCGAGGAGTCGCTGAGTCGCACAGTCCTGTCAGGAGAGTCGCCATCAACTCTTCCATTTGCAATTCCGGTTCTATCAGAAGAGGCGGCGTGTCTGCCGGTCCTGTCGCAAAATCGATCGACCTCTTCAACTCAGCCGGGTTGAAGAGGTTCGCGGATTCGGTGTTCGCGGGCTTCGTCCACCACTGGGGGGCTTCCCGGTCCAGAGTCTCCGGGAGCGACATCAGCCTGAGTTCATGTTCCGGTCTCGCCACTCGCCTCGTCGGCGTCGAAGTCGAGGGCGCCATCGCCTCTGACTCCTCACCCGGGCCTCCCGCCTCCCGCCGCATCGGGCACTTCTCCGAAAGTTCTCGCGCTCACGCCCAGCTCTGCCGAGTGCTCGACGCGGTCCCTGGCTCACGCGGCCTGGCCAGGTGCTTCCCTTCGCCCGCCTCTTGGCCGCTCGACGCCCCGAAGACTCTGGCGTGGGCCGGGCCGCTCGAGCTGGTCAGATAACGGTGGCGCCGTGCGAGGAAAGACGAGAAGCGATACCTTGCTCGCTTGCAGATTTTTGTTCAGTCGATGCTGCAGGTTGCTTCCCAGAGAACTTTTATTTCGATTCAGCAACTACAGATACTCGGCTGACCAATGGCGTGTCTTCAGCAAGGTGCTTTTGAAACTGCGCGCTTCATAAGGGATACTTGTTGCGTTGCGTTGTTAGTGCTGGAAGACGGCGCCATATTACACCAAGATTGGCTTCTAGAAATAAGTAGAGAAAAAAACAATAATGCAATAGAACTACCAAATCACGAGCGACACCAAGAAATACGAACTACACCGAGCCTACCGAGCTTTGTGGTTCCCTCATCGGGTCGAACGTTTCAAAAGATGAATACTTCAGCCGGATTAATATGCAATGAAACCACTCCAAGTAACGTCTTTCCAAGCGTAGCATTTTACCCCGAGTCTGCAATGTGTGTGCGAGAAGGCCAGAAGTCGCCTCGTTGTTCCGGGCTGTATCCAAGGTACAATTCGTGGCCAAAGTGTATAAGGGTTGTGTGTCGGCTCGGCGCCACTCTCAGGCAGATTGCATGTGTCGACCTGTTCGCTTTTGATGCATCAAAAAAGGTATTTTATTGTAATTCATAGCACCTGTTTCATACAGA